GCAAGGGCGGTGATCTCACGAAAGGGTAAAAGGAAGCCCAGGGTACCCATGGAGAAGCTCAACACTGGGGGAACAGCATCGACGCTAAAGAGAGAAGAGGCATGAAGAATGGTCCCGTCTCCACCCAGAGTGACTACGAGGTCTATTTTCTCGGCTCTTTCACCAGATTGCCATACCTCGGCGCCGTGGGGTATGTCTGGTCTGTCCTCGTGGAAGACACGTACGCCTGGGTATGTTGCGTGGACGTGTCTAATGGTTTAAATGAGACTCGTGGCGTCTCTAGAGCAAGAAAAGCCTGACTCGAGAAAAGCGTCGATCGCCAGAATTACAGGCTGCGTTCGGAGCTTATTTACGATGAGAATACTTTTTGGTGGGTGGGTGAACCGGTGCCATCTGTCTTTCGTGTCCGTTAGCGCGGGGATGGGTCCGGGACACAACGAACGTTGGCGCTGGCGTTGAAAACGTCCTGCGCGAAAATGTCCGAGGGAGGCCGCTACGCAGGCCTCGGAGCAGGGAAAACATAGTGGGTGCAGACAGGCTTCGGAAGACACGTGATGCGGATGCTGTCACAAAAATCGGGTTGAGGAGCAGAGGAGGAGGGTGGCAACGACAGTGTGGAGGCGGCGGCTACGTTTACGACGACGAACGAGCAGAGTCTTGGGCGGCAGAGAAGGTTCAGAAGGAACGCGACCAAAAATGTTGTACATCGCGTGATCGCTGTCAACCACTGAACTTTCGCGTTTGCTCTTATGTTACATGGAGGTCCTCGAGACAGACAAACGCGTAACCCGCTCACAGCATCTCCTCCCGGACTCTCTTCTGTCCCTTTCACGTTCTCCCCTCAAGGACGCCCGCATTGCCCAGCGCAACTATCACCCGACTGAGCCAATTGTCCCCGACGACCCTGATGCTGACGACGAGATTCTCCTCTCGCCAGCCAAGAGCCGGCCGGTCAACTCTCGCCCAAATTCAAGTTCTTCCAAGCGTTCGGCCTCCCCACCGCCGCAGGACGAGTATCGTGACCCATCCCAACCAGATGGTCGCGAGTTGAAGCGCCTCAAGCGAGACACGGAGGACGCGAAGGATGACGCAGAACCCGATAGAGGCGGCAGTGATGTCGAAAATACCAATACCGACGTTCGTCGCACCGCTCCCTCGACTCACACCCGTAACCTCTCCGAACCCTCGCTGGCTTCATTCTTGAAACCCCGTTCCAGTTCGAAACGAACACCCAAGGGAAAGGCTCGCGCGCGTTCTGTGCCTGTATTTCCCGTCCTCGACCTCAGCAATCCGCCCACTACCCCATGGGATCGACGCGCCCGCTCGCGTTCCCCTTCCAAAGAACGAGATACATTCAAGCTACAATTCTCATTCTCGTCTCTTGCTGCCATCCCCGATGAGATGGTAGCTTCCCTACTCAGGCCAACTCCTCTGGTCACCGCTGAGCCACCGTCGACTCCCAAAGATAGCCTCGCCACACCAATGTCACCGTTGACTCCGGTGCCCGCGACTCCTCTACCTGTCCAGACGCGTCCGAGCATCGATCTTGGAGTGAGCCTTGTTGCTGCGCCTATTCTCCGTAATTAATCGTCACACAGCGAATTGAAGGTCTTCCTCCTTCCGCCTCGTCCCTGTTCACTTTCACCAACCCAGCACCTCCCGTGCTCTCGAGTGTGGCTGAGGAACCTCAGATCTCGGATGCGGTAGAGGAGCCCAAAGCAGTTCAGCCCCGCGCACCAAGTCGCCTCCCCCGCCCTTCGTCCGCCATGGGACTAGCACCTGCACCAGGGGCTTCCAAATCGATGCCACCTGCAAAGAAGGAAACCATGGCTCCTCCACCAGTTCCGAGCGGTCGCTCAACAGCTAAACCGGCAAAGAATGCCTTCCAACTCATGATGGCGTCCTCAGCGCGAGGCGCAGTTGGGAAGGGCAAAGGCAAGGAGAAGGAGAAGCCTGCTCCTGCTGCTTCATCCACCTCAGCAGCTCCGAGCTTCGTGGCAAAGGGCAAGGGCAAAGAGAGGGCGGAAGAGCAGCCAAAGGAAGAGAAGAAAGTATCGCTCAAGGCCAAGATGCGAACTCGGGAAAAGCCCAAACCTATTCCCCTTCCCATTCATGTTCGTCTTCCCGATGAAAGTGATGCCGAGCCCACAAGTACTCCGACGGCTGCGAGCCTCCCAGTGACGCCAAAGATCACACCAGATCCTCCTGCCCTTGTCCAAGCGCCAGTAGCTCCGCCCAGCCCATTGACTGACTTGGACGATGAAGAGGCGCCCAATGCAGAACCTCTCATCGACGATGATGGGCCTCCCCCTCCCGTATCCTCTCCCGAATTCCTATACTCTCCATCTGCAGGACCACAACTAATGCTCGTGGAGGAGCCAGCCCGTCCTGCCGAGACTCCGGTCGCTGAGGAGAATGTCGCCGATGCTGTGGAAATTCCATTGGAGACTCCACTTCATAAAGACGTTACTATGGGCCTCGAGTCTGTTCCAGATATAGCCATGTCTGGCGACAAGGAGCCTCCTGTTGTTGAAAGTGCACCGAAAGGTCGTCCCCGATCTCGTCTTGGGAAACCGCGGTTGCCTGCCCCGCTACCAGCACCTGCGGATAGAGTGACTCGTAGCGCCTCATTGAAGCGAAAAGACGCAGGAGGTGGAGGTGCGCATCCCAACATTTGATCTTATTCTTTCAACTTACATTCCGCGCAGTTCAGAAGAGGGTTCTTGATGCTGAAATTGAGAAACCGGCGAAGAAACAGAAGATGAGTGCCGAGCCTGGGTCACCGACAAAGATGCCTATGGCGTCTCCGAGTAAGACTTCCTCCTTTGCGGCTCCGACAAAGGCGAGTGCAGCACGAGCCACGATCGCCAAGCCGCCTGCAAAGAATAAACCTGTGTCTGCTGCTGCTCCAAGTCACACTCCTTCTCCAACGAAGAACAGGTTGGCTCGGGCTTCTAGCATGTTCAATGCGCGACCGCCTCGTACGTTCTTTGCTCCAAATGACCACATTCTTTCACTGACAACACGTAGCTTCTTTCGCACGAGCATTCACGGGCCCAGATGGCAACCCTTCGTCGCTGCAGACTTTGGCGTCGGCATTAGAGAAGCTCAGGATGCCTCCCCCAGAGCGGCCGAACACGAGCCTGGGCTTTAGCAGGGACGACACGGATAACAGCCTGGCAGAGTCGACTCGAAGTATGGATGACCGACATATCGGTCTTGGTCGTCCGACTGCTGGACTGCAGCGGGCTTCTACCGTGGCTTCAATCGAGTCTACGTCTTCCACGTCTTCTCTTGCCGGCGAGTCTTTGTCCAAATCCAAGCCTCCGACATCATCCAGTGTACCACGTCCGAAATCCGCGCTGGCGCAGCGCCCGCTTGCTGCATTTATGACTACCGGGAGCGGGTCCAGACTCGCTGTTGGTAAAGGCTCTATCATGCGTGGAGGGTCATCTCTGTTTGGAGGGGCTGCTAGAGGACGGGCGGCGCCCAAGGTTAGTCGTAATCCAGGTCTTCCCAGTGTTATGGGGAGTCCGGTCAAAGGCGGGGGAGGAGATGGCGACGTCACTGTCCTGGTCGAGGACCCGATTGAAAGCACGGAGGCGAGCGGAACCATTGAGAGGGTTACAAGTCCCCGCGCAGTGACGTTCGACATGTCCAGCCTCCTTGACCTTGCTGGCAGCAAGAAGGGAAAGGAGAAGGAGCAACTTCCTAGTGAATGGAGGCATCATGCTTCTCGCAGGGCTTCCTTGGCTGGACAGGATCTGTCGAAATCGGTTTCGCTTCCTCCGAAGTCTGTTGGACTCATGGGACCTCCAGAGACACCCTTGGATCGGATGCGGAGCACGAGCAGCAGCTATCCGTCGTCGTCAGATGCCTCGGGTACGGACGGGATGCGGAGAAGCACTCGGATCGCTAAAAATGCCGCCTCTGCCGATAACTCTGTGGATGAAGAAGACGTTGTTGCTACTGAAGCTCAGACCGTCAGTCAACCTTTGGCCATTCTCAAGGGTTGCACGGTCTTTGTGGATATAGTATCTGAAATTGGGGATGATTCCGCCAAGTTGTTTATCACAGACATGCTGCGCAACTTGGGCGCGAGAGTGCGTCCTGAATCTCGATCTACTCTTTGTCTGATATTTCTTCTAGGTTTTGGCCAGTGTCGGTCAGACGTGCACTCATATCGTTTACAAGAACGGACAACGGAGTACATATACCCGCTACAAGGCGCTGTCTGATCCAAAACCACATGTGGTCGGGATGGAATGGGTCATCAAGTCTGCCGAAAAGCGGAATCACGAAGACGAGCTGCCGTATGTGATTGATATGGACGACATGAACACCACTGCCATGAAGGTTGGATATTTCTGGTTTCTGGTATTCGGCGGCTGACTGGCAACGAACAGCGGCGGAAATCCATGTTGCCCAGACTAGTCGACAACGCGGACGGAGATCAATCTTTTGAAGGTTCATCAACTTGTAAGTATTCACCCTCGGGCGCTACATTGGTATTGAAGCAACGTACAGCGATGATAGTGGATGACGATCTCGCTCCTTTGGAGAGGGCGAGGCTACGCAAAGCTGGAACTGTGGGGATCTAGCACTTATGACCGTCAAGACTTTTTTTTATTCTTTGCTTTGCTACATATAGTTTTACCAATCGAAACAGCCTACTGTGCAAGGAAAAATGTATTCTTATGTCGTGTTCTTATTTCTGCTTGTGAAGTCACTGTCTACGAACTCCGCCTTCGAATTGCACGGAACCGGTCCGTCGATGTATGAAAAGTGAGGAGTCCATGGAGTAACTCCTTGGTCTTTCGATACGACAGACTGGATTTGAGCTGAGGATTGAAATATACCATCAAAAAAGTGATCAAGCTCCAAAAAATTCGATTTTTACGATCAATCTCGTCGGAACACGTTTTTCCAAGTTGCGTACCTTTCCACATCGCATTTTCTGAGCTGTAGGGTTAAAAAAGAGGCGAAAAAGAGAGATCACGTGATACCAGTGGGGTTCGAACCCACGCCCTTGCGGACTGGATTGGTAAGGTTTTCACCTAATTCCAGCGCCTTAGACCACTCGGCCATAGTACCCGACGGAGTGCAACCACAAGATATTTTCTTATTTCAACTATTTAGTAATGCTCAGATTTCTCTCTCTTGAACATTATATATTTGACTCAGATGACCGGTACAAAGAGAGTGCATGTGTTACCGACATTTGGTGCATAGACAAGAGAAAGAGAATAGATGAGCCTGACTTTGTGTTGACAACCCAAAAAGGTAGCGCAGAGGATGAAGGATGTGCCATGGGTGCAAGACCGCAATTTGGTGGGCTTCACGCTTTCTCGTAGTTGGCCAAACTGTATTGTTGTCAGCAACACAGAGCGCATAGCCCACCGAGGGCCGTCAGCTCCCTGTCGTCGTCTAGCAAGCGCTATTTATCGCCCGATTCCACTCCATTCCAGCGCCTTGGACTACTTGCTCATAGCACCGGTACTCGGCAGCTGCCTGGTAGAGAGCTGTCAAAGTGTGATTGAAGTATTTGGGAGCGCTCCAGAATTTTGCAGTTAGCTGTCATCGTTTGATCATGTATTTCGTCCGAGCCGATCTCTGCCGCAAAGTTCAACCTCTGAAGCGGCGGAAACAGCACCTCCTTGGTGCTAGCCGCCCAAAGAAAACTGTCCGGGATGTCGCCGAGCCTTATAAATACCTTGGTCGACAAGTGAGGTGTTTGAGTGCATTGGGCTCTTTCAATGCTCTGTAGACCACGTAGACAAAGCAGTCAGTGCCTCTGATCGCCGAAGGAAGACGGTCAAGTCCTTCCGCTGTGGACACCGAATGGCAAGGTGGGTCAGTCGTTCTCCGCAATTCCGGGGACATTCGTGGCTAAAGAAGGAGTAGAGTCCTTCGTCGGCGCAAACGTAGATGCTTGATTATTTAATGCCAAACAGACGCCGATGTGCTGAGTTGAATGCCTTCATAAGCCCTTGTTGAGCGAACGAATCACCGTCAGCAGCGGAGAGGCTAAAGGGACATTTTCAATCAAGAGAAGATACGACAATGAAAACTTACCTTTCCTAGGTTATAACTTGAAAGTTGAGTGACAGGGACTCGCTCTTCTGAAGATGAGTCCCATTCGATGGGTCGAGAAGTAGTGGTGGCCGAAGCCGTCTTGACTGGGAAAACTGCTGTATATTGGAAGCAAGATCTTGAAAAAATACAGGATATAGGATATGTCCTCGGCCAGTTAGTGGACGCCGGAAGAAAATACCCAGATGTCGAGGTTGCTGTCCGAGTCAGTGGACTGTAGAACAAGCTAAGGATGTTGCATATGTGCATGAATGGGCTTTCCGGGCACTCCCAGGGCACGCCTATCCATTTAGAGCGCGGTGCGGTCTTGTATTCAACATAGCCTTGCTTTGCATTTGAAGCTGCTGAGGGTAACCACTTTTCGAAGAGTGTATTGCCGCATGCCCCAGCCAACCGCGTTGCGAGCTGCTGGTGAACTAGCGATAGAACGCATCTCCGCCTTGTGCAGCTTGTCCGCGGGTTTGAAGAGACGAGGCTCGAGTAGCATGATGGTCCCCCAGATGCGACTGCCAATGACGGGCATGGTTCCATTGGCCCGTTTGGAAGCACGGTAGTATAGACGCAGAGCTTCACGCAGACGGTGCCGTCTATCTGCCTCCGTAGTACCATGTTGCAGCAGCTGGTCCGCAGCTTGGCTGCGCGTCCCTCCGTGGTACAGATGGCGTCAGCTTCACCCACGAGCTGACGACGTCACTAGGAACACACATTTTGCGCCGATTCCACTTGCTGACATCCTTTTCAATCACGAAGAGTCCATTCACGCAGAGTCCCGTGTATGTGAGGACCGCGATATTGCGACTGCCGTGAAGTGGTCGTATGAAAGGCTCGGATAAACGTGGTCTTGAGACTCCACGAAGGCATTTATCAGCGGTACTGCCAGACAGTGGGAGACATGAAAGTAAAAGAGCAGTGAGAGGAAGAAGCAAGGAGGTGGTGCCGAATGGAGTTAGCGAGACGTCGTTGATCGTCTCTTCCACCAACAACTTGTTCCAACTCAAGTTCTCGAAGTCAACGGATGGAGGAGGTCAAGAGGCATCTCATTCCAATACACAAACTACAACCACGCGTCGAAGAGAAAAGAACAAGCCCTGCAAGATTAACGTGCTATTGGTCGACCCGCAGGTCTCAACTTGAAGCCTGGGGCCCACGACAAGGGTGCACGAGGGTTGCGAACCCACCCCCAGGAACCGCGCGCCTCGACAGCCCCCCCGGTCTGAGCTTCGTCAGTTAAAGCGCGCTGAAGGAGAGTGAAGGACATACCATCAGTCAGTTGGCGAGGAATGGGTCTAGGGTGGCCGGGTTGATCCACCGTCACGGCTCGCTTGCCGCTTGGACCCCTCGTTTTTCATCGAAGGAGCCCAGGCTGCGTTGGCTCATGCTTGCGACCCCATCCCTCTGACACGGCGGACAAAGTCCTGTCATTTGGCACATGTTCCTTTGTTCGGACAAAGGAATCATGGCCAAATGACAAGTGATTGTCCCCCGTGTGATTGCGAGCCATGCAAGTCTCCCGGTGACCCGCGCTCTCGTGTGGGGGAGAATGATAGGAAGCACTGTGAAAGCAATACGAAAGCAATACGAAAGCAACGATAGCAAAGCAAGGTCAGTATCCCGTGGTCTGGCAAGCGGACGCACCTGTCGGTTTGTGGTTTGAGATAGATGGTGGTGGTAGGAAGGAAGAAGAGGCTGGGGATTGCAGGCTACGCGACTCCATTTTATACCTTTCCTCTTCATTCCTCGCAGGCGGAAGTGACTGTCTACCCGCCCGATCGACACAGCCTTGAGAACCTTGACATCCGAGCAGAGAGTATGTCGAGGACGTAGCAAGCGCGACTCTGCGGTGTCGACGATGAACGCGAAGGGCGGGGTCGGAAGCAGTCCAAACAAGGAAACGCCGTGGCCACAGCCACTGATACATGTGAGGCTGCCCCGATGCTGTCATTCCGTTCGTCTGCTATGACGAAGGACGACCACCATGCCTTGGCGCACCTCCACCGTGTCTCCGCCGCCGCCGATATGACTCGTTCGATCGAGTTCCCGAGTAAAAAAAAGCCGGATGTGAGTTCCCGAGTAAAATGGAACGGAGACTCGATCGCGTCTATAAAAACAGGCCAACACACAATCCCTCTTTCTTCGTTACCACCAGTTGCTCTCCCGGGAGGTAGGTTGCTCGCCCTTTCCACCTCGCCATTCACTCACATCCTCTACAGCGACTGCACCAGCCAGGAGAAGATGAAGCTACACCAGCCGCCGACCCCAGCGTGTGCTCCCAACACCTTAAACCTACCACCAAAGCACCCTGGCACCACCGGCGCGCGGGGGCCATCCTCCAGCACTGGCGATGTGGTGGATCATCTCAGTGAGTTCCCAGCATTTCTCGCCATGGACTAACTCGTTCTTGCAGAAGCCCCTTCGTCGTCGTGTCTTCGTGCAACTCGCCCAGGACAAAAACCCCGCCGCGTCCAAGTGCTCGCCGCTGGTATGGAGGTCCCGACTCCTCGAGAAGGCTTCAAGACTGCAAGAGGGCCGCATGGGTTCGGTCGTCACTGGTGAGTCTCCTTGTCTACTTCGTTCCTGTCGCTCACTCTCGCTCAGATGTCCTTGGGTCCACACTTCTTCTGCAGGTTGCGCCGAGGTTCGCTGCCCTCTTCGCCGGCGCCGTCGACGTTCCTCGATGGAGTTGGATTGGGTTGGTAGTTAGATACATGCAGGCTGAGTTGAGGGGTTTAGAAGATGACGAAGACACGGAGAGGGAGGATCCAAGAGTATGCCTTGGCTCGAGGGATCAAGTAGTTAGTTTACTAGCGACTCGATCTCTACTCTACTAGGTTACCTACATTCTACATACAGTAGACAGTTCGAGCGACGAATGCACAGTAGTAGTCTCATATTCTGAGCGAATCTTGATTGAGCAAGGCCGCAGCTGCATCATGGTACCTTTCGAACGAAAATCTCCCTTCTCTGGTCATGGACCCGTGCTAGAGGCGTCCTCGACGGTGGTTAGTTCGTACGTTTGAGCCGCTTCTTCTACGGCTGTAAGTCTTGTCGTAAATTCCCAAGGCGTATTGTTTGTGGTGTCCAGCCGAGGGCTAGTGGAACTGAGACGGTCCAAGTTCAATAGAACACGATAGCCCTGGAGGACGTTCACATGGGTCGAAACGCAGAAGCGACAAACCGCACGGAGAAAGAAAAGACCGTCAACAGCCACCTTGGGGAAAGTTAAATTATAGAAGCGGCTTTTGATACACACGCACCCATATATGATGCCCGCGTATGACTGGTTCTTAACAGTATACAGAGAGGATGCCCCCACCAGCACAGCTAAGGGGAAGTTAATACAGAATCCCTACGGTCACGTAACTTACCAAAAAGTAGAAGGAATGCCCATGTTCCGTCTCGCATCACCAGGTGAACCAAAGGAGTGTCTCCCCAACCCTCACGAAGCGCCCTCCCAAAATGGATGGCGGTCAAAGCGAAGAGAAAGGTTTGGAATATGAGAGTGGAGCCTCTAAGAGTTTATCAATGGAACGAATACATTCCTGAGAACCACTTACGCATATATCAACAAAAGTGTAGAAACATGAGTGATCAGGCAAATGTCGTCGAAGGTGATGGTGGACACTGAGAGGCCAAGACCAACGATCATCCCGGTCACCTCCAGTAGGAACGCCAGAAGGACCAATCTTCGTATAATTGGCTTATTGTGATACAGGGCACAGACTGACAATGATGAAAACTTGAGCCTACTGGAATGATCATCTTACCTCTTAGGATGAGGACGCAGTCGACAGCAGCCAAGATCAGCACTGTCGCGACTCCTTGATACACTTCCCAGATGAAGCAATCATGAGGAGTGAAGTGGAAGTGCGGTGTCAATTCTGGAGAGCCAATCACCAGGATTGAACTGGAAAAGTCAGACATAGTACATCCACGAAGTGGAGTGGGAAACTTACAATTGGACGAACAGAGGGACATACCGGATGAACAAGAACAAGAATTTC